AATCAACAAACTAACGAACAAAAACAAATCAATTCTCAATCAGTCCCCATATTTTCTAATGTCGATCTAACCTCAGGGCAATTTGGGGGATTTCAAAGACAACAACAATTAGCCAGTAAACAAACTGAACAAGGACAAAATATTCAATCAGGAAATTTTAATAAAACTACTTCACGGCAAAATCTAACTAGTAAAGAATATTATCGGCAAAATAAAGATGCCAATGTTTCAATTACCAAACAGGATGCTTATGAATTAAATAGTGTGAGCCGATTATTGAATAATTTTCTGCTAACAGTGATTAAATTATCCGATTATTATCCTCTATTTGACAAATTATTTATCAGGTTTTTTGGGGCTTCGGTAGTGTCTATTATCGATGAAAAAACCGGACGGAGAAAATGAGTAAGCCAAGCCGAATATGAGGAATTAGAAGCCGAAGAAACTCCAAAACCGAAATTGCCCGAAGGAAACGAATGAGACGAAACTTTACCTTATTTAGAAAGATTGAAAATAGTCTTAAACAAAACCGAAAAAGAATATAAGAAATTGCCTGATACTTCTAACCGAAAACCCCGAATTGCTTTGAGATTACAAATTGCCGAAGGAGCCACAAAGGCTTATGGTAAGGAGGATTTAAATTTGCCCTCGGCCCAGGAATTTAGAAAAAGAGTAAACGGAGAAGTTGAAGGATATCAAAAAGTAATCGGTTATGAAAATATTTTAAAAATGATTGAGGACTGATTGGAAGGTTGAGATTTTTATAAGGAATACGGAGGAGATAAACCCGAACAATTAATGATTTGTTTATTAGGTCCTCCTGGCCTGGGTAAATCTTATATCAGCCAAAGTTTAGCCAAAGCCCTAAATCGAGGGTTCCACATTATTTCCATGAATGGTAAACAATCAGCCTCTATCGTTTACGGCACTGATATTAGCAATCCAGGAGCCGAAGCAGGAGAAATAGTAAAAGCCATCAGTAAAAGGGAGGATAGGGCCTGTGTCATATTTTTTGACGAATTGGAAAAGGCTGGCAAAGATGCTAAAAGAGCCGTTGGTAATCCGACCGATAGAACAGTGAATAAAGATTTCAAAGATGACTTTTTTGATTTTCCTACTCCTCTAAATGAAATTATTTATTTGTTAGCCATCAATTATCCCGAGGATTTACCTGATTTTGTGCGAGATAGATTTCGAGTAATTGAAGTTCCCCCTTTGCCTTATGAGCAGAGATTAGAAGTAGTGAGATTAGTATTAAGGGGAAAATTAAAGCCGTTAGACAATGCTTTCAGAACTATTTACGGAAAAAGTTGAGAGGAAATTTATAATTTATTCGACCAGGAGGAATTATTAAAAAAGGCTTTGACCCGAACTTTTTCTATTCGTGGGGCCAAGGATAATATTATTTTGTCGTTAATTCCGACTTTAATTGCCGATTTTTTAAAGCCAAAAAACCCTTTGCCTGATGAATACGAAATTATTAATTACAATTGAAAGTTCCTGGAAAAAGAGGAATTGGATAAAGGGGATGCTGATCGGAAACGACCACCTTGCCCTTATTCGGCAAATAGAGCAAATAACCACCGAGAAAATTGTGAATGCTTTTTGGCTAACTTAGATAAAGTGCCAGGATGGGAGGAAAATATGGAACAAGAATATTAAAATTATGAACTACCAAATAACCAACCAAATCCAAGAAACGGATATCAATACGAGAAAAGAATTGTGGGATAGTCTATTTTTGTTTATCAATT